GATTTCACTCTTGTGGGCTGCCAATTAGGTGGCTTTCAGTACCAGCTGGAGTCAGAGGGATGATTAAAACAAAGTGCAGCTTTTTGTTGTGCCCTTTGCAAAAGGAGCTATCAGCTATTTCAGAGAAGAATAAAGACTTATGCCCCCTCCTGCAGTCCAAAAGATGAACAGAATAACTTTCAAAATGTTAGAAACATATATTGATTTACCACAATTTAAAGAAACAGCTTGCCTTTTTTTTGTATGAACCCTGGCATTTTATTTTAGTGTTTTGGCTTTCTCCTGGACCCCTGTTTACAGTGTTAGTGCAAGCTAGTCACCAGTTTTAGCCTAGCTCTTACAAAATAGACATTTCCTACTACTTGGCATAACTGTACTATTTTCTTTCCTCAGAAATGTAATAATATATTTAATAGGAGGCTGACATTCAGGTATCAAATGACCTTCTAAATTCTGATCAGACAAAAACCTGGGCTACTCATCATTTATGGTCACCTTCTCAAAGAGCAGTGGTCAGACYGCTCATGTCCTGGTCATATTCCAGTGTGGCAAACTTTAAGTGCAGTTTGGAATTAAATATTTTTTTTTTTAAATCTGGAGAACCTCAAAGCTCCCTCCAGACTATTACACAGATGCCATATTTCATACCAGATGTGAATTTCCTAAAGTAAATCCTGCTGTGTATAGAGAGGACTAATCTAAAGCCTTTGAAGTAAGCAGCAAAACCTGCTATTGGCTCTGGATCATACATCTATGAGCTGTAAAGATATTTGCATGTTCTTTGGGATAAGAAGACCACATAGATGCATAGCATCCCTACAGGCCAGTAGAAATGTCTGTGATTCATTTGAGATGGAAATCAGCCTGCTGTCTTCAATGGGAAATATATTTCAGAATAAATATGTGTAATAAATGCATTTTTCCATCCTTAGAAGTTTTTGGAATGGTAAATATTCTTCTATTCCTGCATTGATATGAATCTCCTGGAGGGGCGGGTCTCTCTCTTCACTTTCAAAAATGGCAAAAAACAAAGAGTAAAGTGCTGAATGACAACCAGCCTCCCCCAAGGACAAGTTTCAACTCAGATGGTTTATCCCTGAAAAAAATCCTCAGTTTCAGTGGATGGGCRTGAAAACATTTTTATTTAAAAGGCTTCTTTGGAAAGTTCTGACCAGGAATTTTGTTACAGAGAGTTCTAAGCACAGGCTGATACTGAGGAGACTGGGAGATATTTGGCTCCTGCCAGGCATTGTTTCTTAGTTTGATGAAGCTCTTAATCTTCCGTTTCCTCTGTGAGTATCAGGCTCCAGAAAACTGCCTTATTCAGATGCCTAAAGGGAAATAAGATTCAGCTTCAAACAAACAACAACCACTGCTMCATTTTTGATCATAATCTGGGGGGAAATGTATCATGAAGCATCGTGGCTTGATACCTCCAAAAATCAAGTTTGGGAGTCAGAATTTAAGAATCTATCAAAGCTAATCACTTCAAATAATCCTGCAATAGAAGATTGGACTCACCACAAGAAGCATTTGCAGCAGGAGATAAAAAGATTACATGCTGAATGGTCTGATGTGAATAGGAAAGATGCTATTCTTAAAGCCCTGAGCTCCCATGATGCAGTATTACAGATTTGGACTGAAATGGTAAAGCTAAACTAGAACTGTGCGCTGATAACGTCAGAGCAATCAGCTTCTGGGATGAGAGCAGACTTCTTGCTTCAAAAATATTTTTTTTTTCCAACTGTGATTATTAGTATTTAAAACAGCAGCAACTAGAGTGACTGAATCCAAGACACATTATGCTGGACTTTATTCTGTGCTTTACTTTACAGKGCTGCTGCCCCAAGGACTATAAATGTGGGAGCAGACAAGACAGAAATATGGATGGGGATACAGAGAAGGAATCACCTGCTRAATGCTTAATACCAAATCAGCATCACAGCCAAAAATACAACAGAGAGTCCTAATCTGCTGCCTGCTTCAGCCATGAACCCCCAAATCTGCCTTCCCTGAGACTTCACAACGAAGGAATCTCATCTCAATGAGATTTTATCCTGGTGGGAATGGGAAACCAAATGACAGAAGCTGTGAAAAGGTAAATTCCATAGGTTAATCACCTGTCCTGCTTCCACCTCTAAAATGAAAAGCTTGGAAAGAGACATTCCTAAGGGAACAGGAAGTAAGACCAGGTCTTCCTAGGATACATGTGAGTACCTTTTCARGGAATTTTGAAAAATTGCTCAGATGCTCAGGCATCTGAAGAAAGATGGGTATCAGCTGCAGTGAAACTCAGGCTGGCAGGTTGCATTCAACCCTAGTCAAGCCATGTTCAAGAAAATTGAATTCAACAGGAGAGAAAGGAGTTTCCTGAGGAATTTAAGGAGATGCTGTCATAAAAGGAGAGACCAAAACAGCTCATCTCTTGAGTCTGCCCTCAGCTAAACATAACAGAAGGAAAATATGAGGTTGGGAGAGCAGCTGTTCTACCCATGGGATGATGTTAAAAAGTGGCAAATAAGCAAAAGTTTTCTACAAATGCATTTAACCTTTGAWCAACCCTTGCCGAGAGGACTAGTGAGGCAAAAGCTGGCATTGCTTTTAAAGTGGARCTAGTCAACTGGGTATTACAATGTGCTTTGCTATGGAAAAGGGGATAGAGTTAATTGGTCCTCCCAGGCCTTTGTTCTGAGAAGATACTGCGGTCCTTCATGGGATCGATTTCTAGAAAAAAGCAATGAATTTTTTAAAAAGCTCTGCATTCCACAGAAATCTTATAAAGTCTCTTTCCTATTGCAACATCATGATATATTTTATAAATGTGGGAATATCTGATAACTTCTTGAAGAGGCTCTTGTGATCATTGAGCCATTTATTCTTCAGTTGGCCGTTTCACATTATTAAGAATTGTACTTCTAAAACCCAAATCCTTTTGGCCAAAAAAACCCCAAAGTTCCCCTAAAATACAGGAAATGGAAAGAACAAAGCTCCCCATCTGAAAAGCAAGCTGATGAAATGCAGTTAGCCTAAAGTTAATTATAGACATATTTACAAGGATCTTTTGATCCACATACTTCAAGATGATTCATTTTTGAGAAAGTTTAAAGCTTGCCTTTAAAGGATGTCTCCACTACCACATACACCCATATCTGTTGCCTCTGTGGGAAAAAAAATTAATTATAATATATTGCGTTGTTATATTAATCACACATATGTGATGATTATTCTTGATAATGCAGCTCAACAATATAATGCAGCATTAAGGTAGAGGTCTGATTACATGTCATTCAGCAARGGTTGAGCCACTATATTTAGATGCTGACTAATTTGGGAGATTATCCATCTTCCTGAGGAATTTCTGCAGCTCCTCTTCCTGTGGGATCTGAAGACTTCAAACCAGCTGGGCATTTCACTCCCAGGGTTTTTGCAAGACTGGAACATACTGACCTCCACTTTCCACACCTTCTCTCTCTGCTTGCCAGGGTATCTTGCATGTACCAACATTTCTTCTGGCTCTCCCAGGGGTGGCAAAGACCTGGTATCACCTGGRCAGGGGTGAACTGAAGGACATGTCCCAAGAAAGCTGCATCTGTGGTGATTGAGATCAGGTGTGTGTGGTGCAGCATCACAGATCTACACTGCGCCTAGAATATTGGTTTGACTTAACTGAACCAGATCCTTAGTTAAAATATGGGCACTTCATATTTTCCTATGGTATACATAGGAATGGAGGAGTAGAGAGTTCGTGAATAGGTGCAAATGCTCCCCTTCAGCTCCACTCAAAGGTGCTCCAGYGTATTTCCAGTACAGGGCACTGTGTTCATCTGCTAGGCAGCTCTGAGGAAGCATCCTTACCTAGGAGACAYGGGGTCCCCACACTCTCACTGCTGCTGAGACACATTTGCTGGGAGCTGGAAGAAAACATTGCTCACATCTAAGATGAGGAGCCACAGTTATTTAGTCCTCAGGGACAGCAGGAGTCAACTCAGCWGTGACTTTCCGAGATTGAAAAAGATACATATCCTGGACAGACCGAGGGACTTGTAGCCAAAGCCTTTTTAGGAGCTTGTGAGCTGAGCATGCAGACAGATCCACCAGCGGCAAAAGCTGGAGGAGGCATCAAAGGGCTGACAGAGAGGCTGGCAAGGATAAGCTGTGAGAGCAAAGCCAGACCAAGAGAGCCAGGAATCACCCATCATTCTGCCCAGAGCTACAGCAACATGAAAAGACAAGGCAATCAATCTTTCTAACACACTTGGCTACATGAGCGAGGAACATTAAGCACTGTATCACAAGGCTACTGCACTTGGAAAGGTATTTTGGGTCCACAGTGTACCAAACCAGGGCGTGCTGAGCAAGGCTGGGTGGGAGGTTATTGCTTGATTCTTACAGAGCCAGCAAACTCCTCGGCATAGGAAGAAAGGACCACACATAAAGATCGTACACGTGAGCTATACAGGTCTTTCACTCCTTTAATCAGACCCCAGGATCCAGGCAATGAAGCACATTTGAATGTTGCTGGCAAGAACATGATCCCGCAGAGTACAAAGACAGCATGGTGCACTCAAGGTTAGATAGCTGAGCCAGAGGACATGGGAACTCAATCTCATTTCAGCACGGGGACCTGTCTATCCCTGCTTTGTAACAGGTGGCCAAACAAATAACAGGATCATATTTGATCGCCCCCCCTCAGAAATGTCAGGTCATTGCAAGGGCAGCTGGCTGAAATCAATGTGTTTTTAAAATCACTGCATTTAGTTGTGACTAAAGCTACCAAACAAGAAAGTTTAATCTATTATTGTTATTCACAGGTTTGAGCTTCTTGTTTTGTGGTTTTGGTTTGGTTTTCTTTTTTTCATTTTTTMTTTTAAATTGTTTCTCTGGAAAAAGAGAAGTAGCTTTTTTTTTTCTCCTGCTATTGAACAGTCAGATTTGCAACTAGTTACATTCTGAAGAACAAATTAGGCATTTTTTTTTGCTAATCAAGGAATAACTTGTGCATGTGCTTAAACATCTTAGTATAGAAGAACAATCATTCATCATTTTTTGAATAGTCACATTTCAAAAATTTTAATCAATATAATTATCATTARGAAAGAGCTGAGAATCCAGAAAACTAGCATTTAAACTGGTATTTTTGGCAAAGTCAAACAACATCACATGTGCTGGACAGAAGTCAATTACCAAAATATTTTATATTAAAACATAAGGTTTGTTGCGCAAAGAAAATATGCTAATGGAAGTTATTTTCCTTTTGGGGTTCAGGTCTGTAGAAATAGTATATATCAGCTTAATTTTGAAGAGAACAGACTTCCCCTTTTCATTGTCTATTCTGATTCTTAGCTTTGAGGGGGTTAACTGTTGGACTGATGTAGACTGGAAATGAAAGCAATTGAAAATGTTATTAAGCTGCAAAAGGTATTTAAGTTGTCAAAGTCATCCACCACTTCAGTAAACTCTCACTCCTGGCAATTAGCCAGTTCAGTCAGTTTTTAAAAATTATAGCAATTAATTTCTCCTGACCACTGTTAATTTTAAACCTCGGTCCTTCACCTTTCTTATGCCCCAGAGGAAACAGTGCAGATCCTTAAGGCTAAGAGCAGCCTCTGCAGCCTGTCCCATCCATGTCCCCCTGTTCCCCCCAAGCTGCAAAGACAGCTGGATTGGGTACAGTTGGGTACAGCTGGCACCTCTTGTGTGGGGAGAGGGAAGGGGTAAAAGGCAGGAGATGCTCCAGGCAGAGGCTACAGGAGAGGAGGRGATGGTTGCCCAGGGGCCCGCACTGAGTTAGATGCCTAAGAAGTTCATTGGGAGAATTAGGTCTTGCAACTGGGTGCCTGGTAGACTGAGTGCCTAAACTAGCCAACACCCATCAGAAAAGAGAGTTATGGCTACACCCCATCTTTCCCAGGTGCTTTTTGGACTGAGTTGCTGAGTAAATACTGCAAAAGATCAAGGTGCTTGAACACCACTGCAAGAAGCAGACAGGGATAGACTGTCTTTTAAAGCTTGTACATAACCATGACTTATTTTTGTTCTGAAAGCAACTTATGTGCTTCCCATATGGGTGTTTTTGAAATGCAGCCCCRAAATAACAACCTCGGTTGGGAGTGAGAGTACAGAGGAATGAGCAAAGCTGTAAACAGCCAAATTCTCCAGGGAAATAAGTGGCAGTTAGGAGTTCCTAATCAAAGGCTATTTCATGCCTTTATAGGCATTATTAAACTCCTAAAGGAGCAAGTTAGACTTGGAAACTCCCCATCTGAGAAATTCGCTCCAGAGAGTCTTGGATGCCACCTCCCCATCAAGTCTCAGATCCTGAAAGCACTGATTAGCAGTTGCTGACAACATTGTCTCAAAAGCAGTTCCCATAGATTTGGAAGGTGAGTAAAACCCCTATGGCTGCTGAGCAGAGTGCCCAGGGCTTACTCCAAGGATCACACCAGACAGTCAGCACTCTGGGCCGGAGAAAGAGCCAGAAAAGCGCCCTTGGCAGGAGGCAAAAGCAGTCAGTGCCTGGGAGCAGGGCTGTTCAGGGCTGAGGACGCCAAGTCTGGTGAGGACTTCACCATTCTGCCTGAAGGGTGAGGCTAAGTGTCTATAGAAGAATCCACAACTTTAGCCAAAGTAGATGCTAGTTTATCCATTCCAGCAGAGGCTAGCAGTGAGCTAACATACAGGTAGTGTGAGTGCTCCCATGACCATGCTCTGCAATGACAGAGCTGACACAGAATCATACCAATCCTGTCCTGCTGCTGGCATGTAGGACAGACAGAATTCATGGCCAAAGCAGCAGAGACTATTCCCCTGCTCAAGTATTGCAGTCTCTTGAACTGCCTCTTAATATTAAACTCTAATGTTTTTTTTCCCCTGCTGCCTCTGATGCTGCCTTGGGAGGGGCATCAATCTGTTCCCAGCACAGGATGGGTATTTGGTTTGCACCGGTGTGGACTGGCTGGGGGAGCATCATTCCAGCACCTAGGTGGTGACTGCAGCACAACATCCCTCAGCCTATGATTTCCCTGCTCTTCTCCCAGGTAAGCTGTGTGCTGAAGCACATTCTGCACAAAGCTGACRGCTTTTGGGCGATGCTGAGGCCCAACTTCCCCCACGCACACACAGCTTTCTGAACTACACCAGAACTGAACAGAGATGTTCCATCCTCCAGCCTCTCGTATTTGTTTTCATCTGTCAAAACCCAAATCCGAGTCTGAAGGTTTGCAGGAAAATCCTGGAGTCCAGATCCAGGCTTCAAATAGGAGTAAAAGTCACAGACATTTATATTAACATGTATAGTTTCTTACACATTGAAAACATTTTAAGAAACACAGAATTACCAGCTATATAGCAGATTTTTGTTGTATCTTTGATGTTTAGCTCTACATCCATGTTCATCTTCAGACTGGCTAATACATTTTGCAGCCATATGGAGATGCCATATTTTGGACTGAGGATAAAAAACATGGCATCAGTAAAATGCCATATTTCAATTAAAAAAAAAAAMAAMMAAACTTGAATAATCTGATCTACCAGTAACGAAACAAACAGGAGAAATTGCACCAAGTCGGATTCATCAGYAAGGAAGAGACGAAAACTGGAGACAACTGGTTGATCCCCATGTCCCGTTTAGGACTGGGCTCTTAGTGGCAGGCTTGGATCAYCTCTAAATTCTCCCTGAGCAAGTGGAAAGGGGTTCGCCAAAACCATCTCCAACCAGTGTATCTGATGGTACCAGGTATCAGTGATACGACTCTTCCCACACATTTTTTACTTAAAACCTTCCTTTGGAAGAATAAGGAAGTGTATTTTTTCTGGATCGCTGAGTGTACTGATGCACAGATCACTCATGAGCCAGACTCTGATAGTGGCACCAGGCTGCCATYCAATGCTTAGACTATGGGTAGGGTTCATCCCGATGGAAACCACAGCAGTCTTTCACCACTGAGCAGCTAATTACCCATAATGTGCTGAGATGATTTGCAGTTACAGATGGGGACAGCACTGGCTTCTAGAATTAAACTCACTAAGTCCTGCATCCTCACTCTAACAGTAAATAGAYAACCTCTCAGTCTCTTGTGGTTAAGGTCTAGTGTAAACTGTGACTTACAGATTGATTATAATTTGGAAGATTGAATATCTTTTCCAGAGCGGATTTACAGGCTCTGACTTTACCCTCTTCTTTTAACTCAGATGGGGATTTGCAGCTGTGTAAACAAAATGAGAGTTGCATCTATATCTATGCCAAGAAAATGTGCTAAACATACAAATAGGCTGCAAATGAATATGATTTAATCTTCAAATCAGACACATTTTGAAGGTTTTGATTTCCTTTGCCTTCTAAAAGTCAAGCTCTTCCTGTGAGCCAATATCTATAGAAAAATACTGTTTGTGGGGACCCCTGGTTCTTCCTTTGGCTGAGGCAGTACCATGACCCAGAACAGCTCTGGCAGCCTCTGTCTCAACAGCCTTATAAAGAATGGGGAAAGCTGGGCAGGATGAGAGGAGGAAATCCCTTCAGTGAGCAACAGAGTGTGAAGGGATGTTGCCATTTTGGAAGAAGACTCTTAATCAAAAGCTTTGCAAGCCAGTCCTTCTGAGATAAATCACACAGAGGGACGCTTAGGACAAGATGTCACTTGCCCAGCTTGGAACAGCTCTGTGACAAGGACACCTTTTTCTCTGCACAGTGGCATTTGGCTTTCAAGAAGCCAGAGAGTCCATGGCCYATTCATCCATGTGCTGGTGGCCTTTCCAGAGTCACATGGAAGCTGGGCTTGGGGCCTCTCTGGCAACATTGTTGGCCTCAGTTAAGTCTGCCTGTTCATTAAGGTGATGTCCCCTTAGCTCCCAGTGTGCTGAAGGTTTCCTGTGAGTGTGCAGACAGCTCTGTATGTGTGTGTGTGTGTGTGTGCTGAGGAGCAGTGCAGCCAAACTGTGAGGAGAGAAGTAGGGAGAGTTATACCCATATGGAGCAGGGAATGCTATATCYACATGAGGCAGTCACTCAGTCTGGGGTGGTGGGAGAAGCAGGCAGATGAGGGCCCTCCTGCTAAAGCAAATGGAAGCCCCAGCCCACACAGGACATTTAGGGGATTCCTGCCACACCTTTGTTTGCCACAGGTCTGTTTCACATCAGGCTATGGTTTAATGAGAGGGATCTGCCTTTCCTGGGGCACTCACTGGCTGAGCCRGGATGACTGGGATGCAAAGCTGTGGGGAAGCAATCATCTACCATGAGCTGCCCTTGGGGTGTTTATGGACTATGGTTATATCCTCTATTAATCTCTCCATTTTAGACATTTCCCATATCCAAAAGCCTTGCTACCTATGGAGGGATAGATCTACAGCTTCTATGTCTTTCAAACAATGGGTAATTTTTACCAGTTAATTTTTACCAAGAAATTGTTGATGCAGTTGGAGATTTTTGTCATGCTCCTGTGGGTCCAGCTGGAGACAACAATCTTTGTTGCTTAAAGAGAGAAAAAMGGAAGCAAGAAAAGAGGTTAATGCTGCTTACCCTCGATAAAGCTTTTTGCTGCAAATGTCACATTCCTCAAAACCCAATCAGCCAGTCACGCCCTAGGCTTTAACAGCTTTAACTCTAATTGGACCAAGAAAATTAGTTGATGTGCAGCACAAAAACACAGCAAAAAAGCCACACAGAACACATGCTACTGGAGTAACATGGTGAGAGGGTCTGTACAACAGRAGTGCTGACTTCATTGTTGGTGTGTTCTTCACAGGCACCCCCAGGTGATAAAGCCCATTCTGAACTCTGCCTCCAAAGTCTGAGTTCCTAAGATGCAGCAGGCACACCAAGCTGCCCCATAAAGAAATGCAGTTTAATTGCTGCTGTCAGTCAGCCTTGGAGCAGCAGAACAGCCAGCTCACCCGGATGATTAGCATTCCTGCTGCTGGAAGAGCAGGAGTCGAGCCTGGTGGAGGAACACTAATGTTGACTGACACCTTCCCACACTCACTGTGCTGCTGTCTCCTTCCTGGGGAGAAGGGCATGCTCTCCTTTGTCCGTGTCTGACACCACTGTACATCACCTCTCAGTTTCCTGCAATATTCATCCAGTGACACCACCAGGAATAGCTCCAGACCTCAGGGAAGGGAGGGAGCTGCCCAGGGTCAGATTTTGGAAGCAAAGAAAATTATTCCAGGAGACAGTCATATGGACAGCTTCCCATTTTAAGCTGTGCATTCCATATTTATTTATCTGCCTCCAAGCAAACTTCATAATGGCAGACTAGACCTGAATTTCTGATTGTGAGATTCCCCTGGAGATTAGTCCATAGCCAGATGGATCCCAGCATTCAGAGACTGTCATGGCATTGGACAGAATGCGTGCTCCACAAAACATGCCAAAGAATTATCTTTTTTCCTTGATGTCTGCATCCTTGGGGCATTTGTGGACTATGGTTATATCCTCTATTAATCTCTCCATTTTAGGCATTTCCCATATGCGAAGGCCTTACTACCCATGGAGGGATGGATCTACAGAAGCTATGCCTTTCAAACAAAGGGTAATTTCCACCGGGCAAAGAAATTGTTAATGCAGTTGGAGATTTTTGACATGGTCCTGTGTGTTTAACAAGGAGGTATGAAATCCTACCTTTATGCAGCTTCTTTTCTCTCGGGTCCTAAAATTTTTTAAAGATCATACAGCACATCAGCCTTCCTCCAGACTCTTTTCAGGGCCTTTCTTTATTCACTGCCTTTTCCAAAGGTTGCTGCCTGCTCTTCCTAGCAACAGTAATAGTTAAAAACTTTTTATTGGCCTTTATTTTGGGTGGAAAAACCTATCTGTATTTGAGGTAGCAGATGCTCTCATTTCAGTTACTCATTTTAAAAAKGAGCTTTTTTTTATAGGAAAGGTTGTTTGGGTGTCTCTTGATTGGTATGTCATACTAAAAGTTCTTAATTCCTTATTTGCAGAGGTATCATACCATCAGCATGAGCAATGTCAGGAGACCAGAGGAAAGAAGTGTTCCAGGATCCGTGGGATAGTGTCACAGTCAGCCCCACTTTCAAAGAGGAGCRATCCCAACGAGATCTGGGGCCCCAACTCTGGAGTCCTCAGGAATGTGATGGTCAGGCCATACTTCCAGGAGTTTGGGTTTGTTCTTGCTCTAAATAGGGCAGAATAGGTATGTGGAAAACAGGTTTCTTCCTTTGCAGGCTCCTGTGGTGGATTCTGGCCCTGTGACTRAGAGGAGAGGGAGATGAAACCTTGTGGGAGATGAGAGTGATCTGAGCTGGACTCTGAGCAATGAGTCCCACAGTATTTTTCTGGTAAGTGCCCACACTCATCTCGTTATTCCAAAATATTGCTGGCCACAGTCAATGTAAGTAAATGTTGCCTTTCAAGGCTGTGACAGAAACCAGTGCAGACTAAACTGCTTGTGTTTAGTTTTCTGGCTGACACACATGACCTGTGGAGCCAAGACCTATTTGCTGCCCACTATTTCTCTCACATCCCTTTAGACACTGTTGCTTCACATTTCTGCTACCCAGGGAGCATCTGTGCTTTTTGTTGTTTCCAACAAGCTAGCATTTGACACAAGTTGCTCTTACTGTCTTGTCAATATATGCCTTCTCTCTTTAGACTGTTGACGCAGTTGTGGTTGATGCTTATAAACYTGGACTGGTGTACAAATCTCAGGGTTCTTGTGACAGCAGGTTGGGCTTCAAAAATTAAGTGGTTTTTGGGGGTCCTCTCTGAGAACTGGAGAAGAATCAAATGTGTCCACTTCACTATGCAGGCATCCATCTCCCTGGAGTTTCATAATATTGTCCATCTGTTCTTTTGCTTATTTATGAGAAAGGATGGTGGGGTTACAGAGGTAAAAATTAGCACCTCTTGTTGAGACTGTATTTAAAAATATTCATTGTCCATCTGTGTGGAGAGAAAAACCCATTTATGTTAACATGATGTTTTCCTTCTGACACTTGCTGTCTTCAGTACCAACTTGGAACAGCAAGCGCTGGGAGCAGGGAAGAGATTTACARCAGGTGGACCAGTGCCTAACTTTGCATGGGACTGGCAAGAGTCAACATTTGAGCGTGACAGGGAAATTTTGGGTGCAGGAAGGTGGCAGAGGAAGGGGAAGTGTTTGTAATGTTCCCCCTTTCCACCCCCAAATGTCACTGGAGACAAAGTCTTACAATGGAATGGTGCCACGCTTGGGGTGCACCATCTAACAGGACTCTGTTACGTGTGTGCTCACATCTTGCTGTCCCTCTTTGCAGAGAACAAGCACTGTATTGACCACAAATTGGCATCTGAWTGTCTTACAGAGCTCCTTAAAGGTCTGATGGCAAGAGTGCCAGCCATTCCCCACATCCACTGACTTCAGCTCCATCACACTTGGACATTGTATCAGTAATCCTCTTTTACTCTCCCTGACAATAGCAGACAACAGAAAACAGCAGAGATGTGAAGCAATCTGGCTGTCCTCTCATCTGAGGGCAGCTTTGGTCATGAGGTCAAATCTAAGAAAATGGCTGGCACGGAGTGCTGGTAAATCCCTTTGTGAGCAGAAAGACTGAGGGGGCAGCAGCCAGACAGGAGAACAATGAGCAGCTCTACGCCATCCCTCTGCTCCCCCTGCAAGACACTCCCTCCAACAGCCTCCCAGCCCATTTTTAAAGGCATTGCCTGTCAACTTCCTTCAGCAGCAACAAAGCACCATGAAAGGCACTCACCGTGTGTCCCACAGCTCCCTCAAACACCTTGGATTTGACTTCCTRACTGTGTCTGCATGCTGGGTTAGTCTTGCTGCTAGTGCTGTGGGAGGGAGAAATGCAGACACTGGAGAGAAACAGCAGGCAGCAAATCATGCTTGGCTGTGCAGTCCGTGTGTGCTGGGCTTTGCACTGGACTCTGTCACAGCCTCAAAGGGCAATGGTGTTTCTACATGATCCTGGCCTGTTGTGCCAGACTGTCTCTTGGGACAGCAGGTGGTCAGTCAGGAAGGGGGATGCTGTGTGTGATCAGTAGCAAGATGAGACAGTTTGAAGCTAAGGGATATCTACTCTACCACGCACAGATACAGGCCATGTTTCAGGACCTCTCTGTGCTGCAACTATGGGACAATTAGGTAGCGGAAAACCTTTAGCTTAAGCAAGAGTTTAAAATTGCTCTGTAACATTTTACTTGGCTATTTATGACTTTGTGTGATCTCACTGTAGTTGGGACTGGCACACTGCAGTCTTAGGTCTGTGTATCTTCCTTCAGCAATCCAGAAGGGAGGTGACAGAACCTGCTACACCATTCTTAGGGCTACCTGCAATTTTCATCTTGGTTTCATAGCCTGGGCCTGATCACAAAGGAAGCCTGACATACCCAAGCCACCAAAAGTGAGGACCTTTCCATGCAGGCTGGCTTGCATGCAAGCATTAGCTTGCCCGAGGGCTGTGAACAGACCATAATTCCTCCTCACGGTGTACCCAGCAAGCCTGAGCTTGCTCTGGGCAGGCTGTAGCAGGAGCAGTGCTCCTGCCTAGAGGTGTTGGCACAAGGTGTGAATGTCACTTTCTCCCTTCTCTGCAGACCCATTTCATGATGCTCACGTGCCAAAAAACAATGCASTAATGAGACAGGAGCTGGGGCAGAGGGCTGGAAAGGCTGTTAAAGGCAGCTTGTGTAGCTGTTTCCTTTCCTAAGTGCATCCATCTTCACAACAGCTGGGATGAGCTTGCCAGCTTCTGTCACCTTTCTCTTCTTTCTTCTGTCCAGAGGATGAGAAAAAAGATGGAAYTACTCCAAAAGGATGTGTATGGGTTAGCTTTGGTACATCAAGTAATATAATAAATTCCSTGAAGCTCAGTGGGAAAGCTGGGAAAACTGCTGGAGATTATTTCCATGGCTAGAAATTATTTCCATGTAGAAAAAAAGCCATACAGCCACAGAGCAGCAGGAAACTGTCTGTCTCATCACACTTTGATGATCTTAAAGAGRCTTGGCCAGGTTCACTGAGAAGCACATCAGGGCATGCTTGCCAGGCCAAAGCACTGAGGAAAACTAACCTGGGCAGCCAAGGCTTTTTGCTTCTGTGGTGGCAATGTGGGAAGTCCCATCACCTCTGACTAGGTGCTAATGGGACACGGAAGGTGTTTGTAGCAATGTCAATGCTGCCTTGGCATCTTGAAGYGTGAGTCACCTCTTCCTGAATCATGAGACTGGCTTGCAAGTTATTAATATTTATTTTCTGACTGAAAATGGGAATGACCTGCCTTTACTTCCAAACCTTTGAATCTGCAGGATTAATCCTAATGTTACTTGCAGAATTTTCTCTGGATTCACAAAAACTTTGTTTGTCTTTGTGTTTCTTTCCCTGCTTTAAAATAAAAATAAAACTGAGGATTTTTTTCTTTTCTTCGCAGAGATCCAAATCCTGAAGGACTCATCAGCTGTTTGGAGATTTACTGTAAAACCACAAGGATTTGCAGTGGTTATTGAGCAGCCATATGCTCAGCTCAGTGCAGTGCCCTTTTGCACTTCTGGCCAAGCTGCCTATCTGTCCACTTTAAAGTTCTCCCTGCTGGCAAGGGTTTACATTAGCTCAGCTACAGCGAGGACATCAGATTTATCCCCTATTTGCCCTTTTCGGTATTCAAAAATAAAATTAGTCCAGCATGATAGATGCAGTTGCTAGTGGTGTCTAAACAACTCATAACTGAGGATGCAATAAGCCATGATGGACGCAGATCTCCAATCAACCCCGTGAACTACTGTATGCTGGAAAATCTTGGAGATTCATTCTGCTAACAAAAACCCTGGCTTTTCTTCACCTTTTCCTTCGCTTAAATGGGGAGGACAGAGGAGCTGCTTAGCTGTTCATCTGAAAATACTAAGTATTTTTTAAGTATCCATGCTTTGTATTGGCAGTGAGAGCAAAAAGCTGTCATACATCCTCTTCATCTTCCTGGAGGTGCAGGATTGTGTCTCTGTGGTGCAGACCTGGAGCACAAGGTTTGGTAAGGCTGAGTGTATAAGGGCTAAAGCACAGCAGTCAGTGGGTCATCCATCCTATTTTTAGTARTGCACTCTGCACCTGAAGCAGCCTTGTTTGGCTGCTGGTGGTGAGTAAAACCCRGAAAGCCAGTAACCTTTCTCAGGTCATGCTCTCATGGGTGATGGATGGAGTGAAGGGCACTTTACAAGCTCCTGCTGTTCCCCAAAAGTTTGCAAAGCCTCCAGAAGGAAAAGCAGAGCAAGGAAGAGGCTTTGCAGGAAGCTCAAAGCTCTGGCAGATCGTTTATTTCTGCTTGATCGCCAAGGAYGTGAAGCAATTGCTAGCAAGGCGCTGCAAGTGTGAGAGAAGGGGAGTGCCCTTTCCCACTGTCTCACCCTGTTGGTGGTTGCATAAGCCTCAAAGTACAGATCCTGAGGTTGCCATGCCAACTTGCACAGTTCCTCCCATCCACCTCCCCATCCCAACARTGCTGTGGGCCTGAAGGAGCGGGAGTCCATCCTGGAACAAAACCAACGACTGACTGGCAGCAGAGGCTCTGCTCCATCTGTGGAGCTGAASGAAGGACTCTGTGAGCTGTGCATGCCCTCGTGCCACCCATGAGAGATTCACCAGAGCAAGYGGTTTGCAGCACTTCTGCTTCCAAGTTCTGAGTGCTTCACTTTGCTACTGAATATGGCTTCAAGTTCTCATTGACAGYAGAGTCTGTGCTGTTACCCATCGAAGGAATCACAAGTTCAGCATGAGTCTGTGTGCCTGCTTTCCCTTCTGTAGAATTAAAATAGAGCAAAGAGCCTTTCAAAGGCACTGGGAAGGAGGAATCACTATTTCCAGACCCTTACATAAACGGTCTTCAAGTGCAAAGGTGGAAAAACTTGAACTCCTCTGGTTCTTTTCCTGCAACCCCCCCATTAAAAAGGGCACCATACAGACTTAGGTTATATGGTAAAAGGGTCCAACCCTTGAGAGAGAACAAAAAAATCAGTGTGACTTAGGTCTATACAGCATATAAGAGGCTGGCAGACAAAGCAGCTCCCTGGTTTTGCATTTTATCTTAATTAGCAGTGATTTTCAGCACAAATTCTTATGGTTAGCCCCTTTCCCATTTTGTGTGACCTCCCACATAAATCACAAACCCTTTTCTCTACACTCCCGCAATACCAAGAATGGAAATCCTGATGAGTTATTTTGCCAGTAATTAAATTTGTCCCTTCTGTTCATTTCACAGATGCAGTTGCCCTCTGATTCAAAGCAAAGTGCAGGTCAGTGCCAATGGGAGCTTTTAATAATCTGGTAGTCTGAACCGGCACTGAAGATGGAAAGGTTTTTCATTAATTGGACTGCTGTGTAATTATCTAAGAGAGACAAACTCCTCTGGACAGCRGAAGGCTGGGAGTGTGCAGAGTGATGGAAAAGGTAATAAGTAAATTTATACTCCTGTACACATCCTCTGAGCCTTCAGCCAGAACAAACACATAGAAAACACCTTAGATCTGATTTTGACTCAGCAGCTTGTTTTGTCATTTACACCAGCGTAAAAACCACTTTGATAGGCTTTCCTATCAGGGTGATCTCTTTTTACTTTGCTAAAACTGGGGTGCCAGGCTAGCACAGTCTGCAGCCTGAGCAGAGGACACAGGCTCACAGCAGGGAAAGGTTGGTGCTGCCCTCCTGCTTCTGCTGAGCGGGGATCGAGGGGGATTGCCCCAGCCTTGAAATATGGCCCCTGAGGAGGCAGGAAACAGCAATAGTGCTGTTGGGGTCATACAGACAGGACATGATTGTCACTGCTGCTAAAAAACCTGCATTTTCCTGATTCCAGATCGTCAGAGAGATTTGCAGGCAGAGGAATCAGGTGGGTTCAGAAAAAATCTTTAATATCACATTAACAAAAGGGGTCCATTCAGATTTGACCCCTGTCAGTAAATATGTGCAAATACAGAAGCTTTAATCAGAGTTCTGATTTTTTAATTAAAAAATAAGATGCTAGTCATTTCCACTGCAGAGAAAAACCTGTCCATGYAGCATCCTGAGGGCCTCTTTCCTCTTATCTAGTTGGTTTTAATCTTGCAGTTTTTAAGCCTGTTTTATGATTTTGAGGACCTGACATATATTTGTGAGAGGTAGCAGTAGGCGACACAGCCTTTTAAAAACTGGGCCAAAGCAGTTTTGTGCTCTGGTTCCTTTCAAGGACGCAGATGATGTTATTGACATGTCCATTAACTGTACTTCCCAGGAAGGTTCTGGTGCTCTGCAGTGAGTTTGTTATACACACATCTCTGTGTGCTGTGTCACCTCCTGGCCATAGAGATGATGCCGTGGACTGGGGACTGAGGGCTATTTCCAGTCATGCAGCCTGAAGGCTGTTATTTGTGTGGCCCTTTGYAGACAGACAAAACTCATTCTGCCCATGCTCTGAACTAGCCAAAAGCTATTATCCCTCACCAGGACCAATGAACTCACGCTCAGCAGCTGGCTCATTAGTGATGGCTGCTCAGTTTTCAGTTAGTTTAGACTGTGGGCAGGGGAAGCTGAAGTCTGGAGCTGCTTACTCCAAGTAACCTGGGAGTAACTGTTTAAAACCTGGATGCACCTCCTGTTTTTTCCATCAGCAAACTGCTAAAATATTTATGTTCCTGCTGCATAGGAGAGACTGAACCGAACTTCCCAGACACTTGCAGAATGTGTGCAGATATTACCAAAAAAGTTACACTAAGAGTATGTAKTATTACCATTATCATTATAATGGRTTTTATTTTTACTTTGGTTCTTGAGTACATGATTGCAGTCTTCTGAGAGAGGGAAAGAAAACAAGAACAAAAAAGACATATAAAAGAAAAACCTGTCATTATCACCTATTCTTCCCTCAGAGTTATTCTCATTCACTGGATTCCTTTCATGAAAATAAAGGTGTATACTATCTCTCAAATCAAAGGGATGAGGTATTTTTCAATCCCCAACACCTTCTTATTTTCTTAATAAAGGAACTATAAATGCCCAGGCTCTAACATGAAACTGATCCTTTAGATAGAGGAGGGCACAGAAATAATCAACCCTGTGTGAAGATGCAGAGCTCTAATTCACATGTTCTTGTTAACAACTACAGTGAAACCAAGCCCCAAATAAAATCTGTGCAGAATCGTGCAGATGTAGAGCCAGAGCCACCACCGAGTTTCAGGGTGGTAACCCAAGAAGATCACTTAGTATTAGACAGCTTCAGTGCTCAAGCTGTRGCTCCTGGAAGACAACCAGGGGAATTGCACCTATATGAGTTCAGGGAGACGCCCTGGATTTAGAGGAGCTCGGCAGCCAGGCATGGAAAGACATTGGTGTGAGCAGAGCTGTGCTAGAAAGTTGTACCTGTAGAGATTAAGGGTTTTACAGGTGAGTTAAGCCTGTTTTCTATAGGTACGGGTGTACATTGAAGTTGTTGGTGGAGTATGAGGGAATGTGAACAAACAGATCCTTAGAGAAATAATTTTCTGCTCTCGACAGCTCACTAGACAAGAAGAGCTTCTGGCTGGGAATATTTATGTGGAACCAGTTGGTACCAAACATAGTGGCCAAACTCAGATTTGCAATTGCCACTTCCTAATGGAGACCTAAATGGAATAGCTGGTCACAGGCAGCACCACATGGGATGCAGAGGGCTCTGGTTTGTCAGTCTCTCTTTCATGCATTTTTCATGCGTCTCTTCTTGTTCATTTGTTTTGTCTTTGTTTTCAGCTGCATCTAATGAGCCTTAATTGTGCTTTTGATTAGCTATTTATCTGTGAAGGCTTACAGGGCTCTCATCTCCAGTCCTCTTCATCTTCTCCCAAGTTTGCCTTCCCCTTTGCTCTCCTTAGCTGTCTATATTCCTGTTGCAGGTAAAAATGTTTAAGAAATGATCATCAGCCCTGGTAGGGGGTCAGAATGGAGGGTAAAGAATGGATGGTAAAGAGGATGAGTCAATACATATCCTGGGGATCCAAGCAATATCACTGGGGACACAGCTGTAAAAACGGCCCAAAAGGAATAATTTTCCTCTCTCTTTTGGAAGGTATCAGTTTAGGTCCTTTTTGAATTAACCCCTTCCTATCAGCATCACTCAGCAGGACATAGATGTGTGGGCTCCCTCATAGGTGTGCAGTTATCTGTGTGGACACAGGGCCTGGGAGCACCCAGGGAAATGGGATGTTAAATGGGAACTGGAAGTTGTAAAGTTTATCTGCACCTATTCCTTCCTGGAGCACTCTGTGGTCACTGTCAGGTGAGTACATGACTTGTCCCTCTGATCCAGCAGGATCATAAAATGCATGGATGGATGTGTTAGTGATTGCTTTTCCTCCATCAGAGCCTGAAAGACTATAAACACCCCGACCTTGGTATTCAGTGAGGGCAAAGAAATTAATTGTACACTTTGTTTTTTCCCCCATGTTCTACCTGAAGCTTTTCTGAATAAGGGTAGGGAATCTAAGCTTTCATTTTGCTTTTGAGTATTTTTTCCAAGATGAGGAGAGTTTTAAAAAGTTCAACAGTGAAAYGAAAATGAAAGGATGCATGCATGTCTGGTAAGGAAATTTGGACATGCTGTGCCAGTGGCAAATGGAAAGGAGGGAGACTAAAAATGCAGTCTTTTCTCGAAAATATTTCATTAAAATGTAATGAAAAACTGATTCACAAGAAATGTAGCAAAGAAGAGGTGACTTGAATTCATTTTTCACAGCAATGCAGTGGGTTTTTTTCCATTTTGCAGGGATCTCAGTAAATATTATTAATACATTTTATACCCTAGGATGTTGAGAAATTACAGCCATGCACAAATTCTGCAACAGGACCAAGAATATAAGTCAAACCACCACTTTCTAAATTGTATACCTTCTCCAGCTTTTTTATTTTCTCAGGTATTACTGTTCTCACTCATAAATGGTGATCATTAGTTATTTTCCCAGTCACTGTAATACCCCTGGGGAGCCCTTCACTGAGTTTAAATGCTGGGGGAGAGGAGCTGCAGATAATTCAGAGGCAGTAACACTTGCAGCTGCTCATCTATTGACTGTTCAGAATGTTACTTGGTACCTGCAGTTTATTGGCTCCTGAACACTAACTTTTCAGCAYTGCTGGAAGGGAGAAGCACCAAGCAGGAGGGATGAATGTGGGAGGGAGGGAAAGAAGGTAAGTGGGTGGAAAAATGAGTGCTTTACTGAATAATGAGGAGAGTGAAAATGAATGGGAAAAGAGAGAATAACTGGTTTAAATATTTAATCTCAGTTACATTTGCTTTTGAAGAGGAGACAAAAGGCTTGGAACATCTTTTGTCTTGAGCTAATTCTGACCAGAGATGAACGCATGTGATTGTCACTTCTGTCATTTGCCTTAAGGTGGAGAGAAACAGATTGGTCCTGCTGCATCAGCCCAGCATAATAAAGGTATTAAATTATTGGTGACATTGAAACTTGGCTTCATGAGCCCACATTGCCCTGGATCCCGGTGCCAGCGTGGTCAGCATGTGTGCTGCCTGAGAGCTGCACCCTTCAGCTCCTTGCAGAGGTCTGAGGAGCAGTTGTGCCTCTCCATATAGCAAATCACTTCATTTAGGTCTTCACCATTTGGAGCCAGGTGGTTGGYGCAGCACACATCAGCTGTATTTTCCTCTTGTCTCTCCCCATTCCTCCGCACATCTTTCTACCCAGCCTCTTTCTGCCACATTTCTCTTTTGCTTCCCTTGACACTCCCTCTCTTGTCCTCCATCTCTGCTCACCCATGGTCTAGGCAGGCCCAAAACCTACACAGCTGTCTTGTCAACCAGTCACAGCTGTACMATTTGCAGCTCCTTCCACAACTGAGGCAGCCCCACAGATGAGCTGCCAGGACCTGCATGCTGGCATCAGAGACAGCAGCTCTGTGTGCTGATGAGCCACTGCACCAAGAAACCATAAAATCATTGGAAGGGACCTTAAAGATTATTTACTTCAAACCCACCTGCCATAGATGGGCACATCTTCCACTAGATCAGTTTGCTCGAAGCTCCAGCCAACCTGGCTTTGAGCACCCTCATGGATGGGGCATCCACAGCTTCTTTGGAAAACCTGTTCCAGTGTCTCACAATTCTCACAGTAATTTTTTTTCTTAAATCAAATCTAAATTTCTCCTTTTTCAGTTTAAAGTCATTACTCATTGTCCTATCCCCTGTCCTTTTTTTGTAGGCTCTATTTAGGCACTGGAAGGTGCTATAAGGTATCCCTTCTCCAGGAAAGGACAGACAATCTCTCAGGCTGTCTTCATAGGAGAGGTGCTCTGTCCCTCTCATCATCTCTCTGGCCCTCTAGGCCAATTCCAACAGGTCCCAGAGCGGGATGCAGCACTTCAAGTGAGGTCTCATGAGCGCTGAGTAGAGGGGCAGAACCCCCTCCCTCGACCTACTGGCCATGCTTCTTTTGATGCAGTTCAGGACACAGAGCTGTGAGTGCACATTGCTGGGTCATGTTGAGCYTCTCATCCACCRGCACCTCCAAGTCCTTTTCCCCAGGGCTGCTCTCAATTCATTCCCTGCCCTGCCTCTATTTCTTCTTGGAACCACCTCATGTGCCAGACCATGGACTTGTCCTTATTGAACTTCATGAGGTTCACATGGGCTCAGCTCTCAAGTCTGTCAAGGTCCCTCTGGACAGCATTCCTTCCCTCCAGCCTGGCACCCAGCAAGGCAGGCACAGCCCTTCACAGGAGTGGGGGTTCCCTGTAGCTACTGCCTGTCATCCTCCAAGACAGCCAGATAAAAACGTTATTTAGTCTTTTTTTTTTATAGACTGGAGGAGTAGGAGGAAGAAATGCCTCTAGAGAATAATACTTTGCAAGCCTGGCTTTTCAATTGAAAACTATCTGTAAGCTCTAAGAAGTTTGATGGTCTCTGACTAACCAGAGGAAACTGCTGAGATTGGGAACTTTTCCTCTTGCTTTGGCAGKGACTTTTTCTCTCTGATTCATTTATTCCCTTTGTAATTTTAAAAGTGAAAAGGCACTGCCATCCCTGCTCCTCAGATGAGGGCAGATGTAACGTGACTTCTCCACTAGAGCCACTCATGGGATGTCTTTGAAAAAGCAGGGATTTTTTGAGCTGTGGTCCCCTGACCTCTGAAGGAAAGATTTGTGTCAAGTCCTTAACTGGGAGGCACCAGAAGAAATGAAACAAAAAMCAGCAACCCAAAAAGTTACAACAATATCTTTCAAGCCTGTGAAGCCTCACAGTTAGCAATTATCTTTCAAAAGCAATTACTGAAAATTATTATTTTATTTCATTACTTTACTAGCTGTTCTATAAGAGATCAAATAAAGCTAAGGTGCCTAGTTAAGTATGTTCTTATTTTATTTTATYATCATTACTTGAAATGCTGGAGAGAACAGCTGAATATGAGTTTGGGCTGGGTGAAGCCAGCTAGCCAAGAGTTTTGCATCTGGTTTATAGAAGAGCTTGAGTAGGCTGAAATTCCAGGCTGATGAGATGGTCTCCACTATGACTACGCTTCTTTCTTGGTAGAGAACTTGGGTACATTTAGTGTGTGAACTATAGGGATGAAAGAGGAGTTTATTCTCTGTAGTACTTCAGGWTTTGGCTTTGCAGTGTTTTGTGGCCATTCCTCCTACTGTGGCAATGATACCAGAATGCTGGGCACTCTGTTTGGATCTGAGCTACACACCRTAGCTGTCAAGACACCGAAGATAGTCCAGGTCTGATCTGAATCAGTGACTTTGGAAGGAGAAGCATCATATCTTATGTCAARAATTTGTCTGAGTCATAAAAATGCTCCTTCACCTTTTTCCTAAAGGCTCAGGAGCTGACAAAGAAGACCTGGTACTGTGGTCTAAAAAGCTTTCAGTTCTGCTCATGACTCCATACCAGTTCAGTACTGCTGCAATGTTTCAGTGGTGCTCTGCCAAGTCCTGCCCTTTCTTCCCAAATCTAAAGTTGTTTGCAGGAGCTGCTGCTTCCTAAATTTGATCAATGTTGTATTGCCTTTATCTTAGCCTGTGAGTTCCCAGATGCACATCCTGCTTAGGATGACCATGACCCTGACTTCAGTGGGAGCCGCTTCCTCTGACAAACAGTCCCTGCTGGACTCATCCCACGGCCTCTSTTGTATCCTTTGAGGTCTGGGGGCACAGAGACACTCAGAGGCGTGTCAGGCTGTGCCTGCAAGGGCTATGGAACCCTCCCCGGTGATTGCTGCCGATGGCTACTGTGCAGCACCAGGAGTGCAGGCAGAGGAAGGAAGCTTTATTCCAAGGGTGGCAACAGAAACATCCTTGTGCTCTGAGAAAAAGGAGGAGAGAAAGAGAAGCATCTTAGAAATTCCTCAAAAGCTTCAGGAATTGGTGAGGGGAGGAAGTTTTGAGATAATACATACATGGTAGTTGAAAGCATCTTCGTGTTCAACAAAGAGTAAATTGCTCAGGGGAAAAAAAAAAGGACACTTGTGGGAGACCTGAAACTGTGTTCATGTTTGGAAGACTGTGCCTCCCTTTCATTATCTTATTGTCAAAATATCTTGAAAATCTCAGTGCTTTTCTTCCTTTCCTGCCCTACCCCTGATTAGGAGTATTAAGTGGGGAATGCTGAGGTACTTCATTTCAAATCTTTCAAAATCAAGCTTTTTGACATCTTTTAAAATAGACTTGTACATATGAACTATTACTTCAGCTCAAAAATGAGAACAAATTCTAGTCAATAAACAATGAAATAAACTGCAAATGCAATTTTACACTTGGGATTGAATAAATCCCTTGAATTCACCCTATTTTTAGTTTGTTTCTCTTTTTCCTGGGCTTCAGTTCCACACACTTTCAGTTTGTTTGACCTTTTTTAASGTTTCTGTTACTCATTCCTAGTTATTTTTTCACTTATTTAAATATTAATGAAAGAACAACAGTTAAACATTATTCTTTTTTTCTAAATCAAACCATCCAGCCATTCTAATATAAATATCTTGAGGTTGAGTAAAATGGGGAAAGCATTCCGTACAGCAAAAGATTTACAGAAATTATGGACAGAAAGCCCCTACTTGGGGAATGAGCCAGTCTGCTGCTGTCTAGCAGAAAAAATCAGCACGGAAGTACAATCTTTAGAAACAGCTTATGAATTTACAGCTTGCAAAGTAAAAGAATTCTCTGTGTCTCTCATACACATATGCTAGCTCATTCCACATACATGCATACATACAGGTCTCTGGTGGAAAGACAGGGAATGTGCAGTCTGTAATGCATATGAACTTTCTGTTTAGAGGAGAAAAGATTTTTCCAATAGGCACAAAATCCCACCCCCTCAGCACCCCTCCTTCCCCTGTGTCTGACACTGACTTCAAGGGAGGAGTTGAGCCAATTATCTGTGAGTCCTACAGAAGGAAAATCTGCAATTTGCCAGTAGTTGTGAGAGAGAGAGGGAGAAAGGCACAGAGGGAAGAGAAAAGGCTAAACTGGCAAATGAAAAGCCCCTTCTGTCCTAGAGAAAGAATATTCTAAAGCAAATCTCAGACCAGAAGAAAAGAAGCTTGTGARGACGAATGTGCCAGGCAAGATCTGGGGAAGAATAGGGTCACCATTAGACAATTTCCATGCCCACGCTGATCTTTCCCCAGAGGATCTGAAGCAGCACAGAGGCAGGGTGGGCCAGCCAGATGCACCCACTACCCTGCMTGAGTAGGTGCTGCTCCTGAAATTCCTTCCCTGCAGCAGAGCTTACGAAATTCAACTTGCAAAGAAAGGCAGTGGGAGCGGGAGAGACTCTGCCTCTCCTTTCCTTGAACTGAGCCTGTGAAGCAAAGAGCTCAGCTGGCCAAAGGGAAAGCTGTCACCGGTGCTGAGACTCTTCTTTAGCCTCTATCAGTTGCCTGATCCAGTACTTTCATCCATGGGAGAACGCCCTCTGGAGTTTTGCGGTCCTTCCCAGTCCTGCTGAGGTCTTGGGAAATACTGGCGAAGAACTGAGCCCAGAACAAGCAACGTGGGATCCACAGAACAACAGCCTTTTGCAACAACAGCCACCTCTGATTAAAATTACCAGATTCACCAGACTGCACCAAGACCCAGGACTGCTCCTCCAAGGAAAGAGAGGTAAGAAAACAGGGAGTTTGGGGTGAAAGTAGGAAACAAACATCCCACAGGAGTGATTTTTGTGTGCATGAAAATTACAGGGGCACTTGTAGTGATTGCAAAGTGACATGTCTGTTACGCATGATACAGTTTGTGTCTGCCCATGTCCTTTTACCTGGGTGCAGTGATTTACATCAGGCTGACAGACACAAGCAGCAGCTGGAGACAGAGGAGTGCAAGGGAGGCAATTCAGAAGTCTGTTCATGAATGGGAAGTGGTAGGGAGCATTCACGCTGATGGGAGGGTGGAAAACTAAGGTGCAGCAGCTCTGGGCAGGTTGAATAAAGAATATCTTCCTTAGATATCTCCCTGCTGGTGCTCTGGATCAAATTTGTCAGTACCTCACTGGGATCCAGACAAGTGCTCTCTCTGGAGCATACAAAAGCAGGTTCATTGTCATTCCCTCAGATGCCTGTCTATAAAAAGAGCAGTGGTGGTTAGCAGGTAGAGGATTACACAAGGAGTCAAGGGAAATGGGGTTTAATGTTGATTTTTGACRACAGTTTCAGCTCTTTCTGGGCATATGAGCCTTTCCCTTTATTTAGAGATAACATTAATTGCCTGTATTTCTATGAAATTTTAAAAACTCTGCACTGTACCAATATAAAATACTAATGGAAAGTTTCTAGCATCTAGGCAGTACTTAAAGCAGAAAGTACCACTGAGAATTAATCTATGTTTAAGCATTTAATAAACTGGAAGGAAAACATGTAGATTAAAGGCAGCTGGAGGTTGTTTGTGTCTTCATTCTCTTCTGATTGATTTTGCTTTACTTAGTACATGAACATGTGGTCTCTCTGTTTCCTCTCTTCTGTCTTTAATCTTCTTCAATATATGAGCCCCTATGTTCCCCCCTTCCTCTCCTGGGTGTCAAGGCTGAAGTTTCTTTCATTTTCTGAGGAGGAAAGAAGGCAGAGTGTGTTGAAATAGAGAAAAAACTGGAGAGAGGGGATAAGAGAAGGCACAAAACACAAAAAATGCTCCCAGCAGAGGTGATGAGTAACAACTCCATGAATCGAAGTGCTGAAAAGCTTATTTTGATTTTGAGTGAAATGCAATGCTGTTAAAAAAGCACAGGAGTCCTCTTGACTGACTGCCTTAACAGGTGGAACAAGGACAGTGTGAAGTGATCAGGTCCCTCAGCACATATGTTCTGTACAAGCAAATAAAAGTCATTTGCTCAAAATGTGTAACTGTGCTCACTCTCAGATGCTTTTGCACTGAGCTGTGTGCAACTGCTCTCTAGCAGGTGTAAACCACACAGTCCTCTTGCCCTMATGCAACTACATTGCTCTACACTGCTTCACTCTAGATATCAGTCCTGGGTGGTAAAGCTTGTAGTTTTTACAACTAGTCTATGTCCTTGCTTTTCTCTGCCAAATAAACAAGCCTGAGAGGGTGAAAGGAAGTATTTTTTGTCTGCCCATGGATGCAAGACAGTATTGGACTGGCTGTGTAGTATAGTGTACTGGCAGTGTTTCAGAGACTGAATATGGTGTTTCTGCACTGCTGGAGATGGGTCCTGTGGTAAACAAAACACCGAGTCCAGTTCARATACCAGCAGTGCTTCTTGCTGTCATTCCTGCCACAGTAATCACWACAGTACCACAATTCTGCACATATATGTCCATCCAAAGTTGTGTTCTGACATTAGTCTGGCTCTAACATTAGGCTGTCCTGCCCTCTGAACGTAATTCAGAGTGTAAGCCACTCTGAGGAGAGCATTGCATTTTCTTTTGTGCTTTAGGTAAGGCTGAGTATGCCATCGTTTGTAGCAAATCAGAGCAACAATAATAAATAATCCCGTTTTGCTGTTTACTTGGGCTATAGCACAGAGCTTGTAATGATGCTGTATCAGAATTCCAGAGATTTCTTTATTTAGCAGTGACTGTATCTTCACTGCTTCTTTGGTGCTTAGCACATGTTAAACAAAGTAAAATATTTTAAGCTCTTCACTGAGCTAATTGTCAGCTACATAAAAGCTTGGGAGATAAAATTCACTCAAGGGAAAGATAGGAATCCAGATCTGGACCAGAAATGATCTTTCAGTGTACATAAAGTACTTGCATTGTAATATTAAATAAACAACACCTAAGTTAAATAAATGGCACAGTAGAAACTTGATTATTCTTTAATAAGAACCTAGTAACCAAAATAAATTCTGTCCAAATGTACCTTCTTTGCTGTAACAGTCAGCTCTCCCCAGACAGGGGCTGTATTTGTCTTTCAGCACAAAATTTGTTTGAACTGGTACATGAAAAATGTCTGAGCAGCACTTTTTCTTTCCTACCAAAGTTTTCTGCATCTGAATGCTATGTCAAAATGCAGTCTCTGGGGTCTCTAGACTAATTTTAGATATCAGGGGTCGGAAATATTTTCTAACAGCTATTTAAGATGGCTGTCCTTCATCTTTTCTCCTGCTTGTACTTAGCACCTGTGCTTAGCAAAGCCAGTGGCATCCACAACATCTGTACACATAAAAACTGGAGCTCCTAAAAAAATCTGTTTCTGCAGTTCCACCCGCTGACAGTCATCCTGCCGCAACAATGATAGTTTGCTTATAGGAGTTCTCACACTACCCGTCCAAATAACAAAATTAAAATCTGGTTTCTAAAAAGTCACTAGATCTTTGAATTTATCACCAGCCAGTGCTATTTTGTGGCTCACACTCMCTGCATCAACAAAGAATATTGCAAGGGATCAGCTATTTAAAGTTACTGAGATGTGTAGCCTGCACTGATGTTAAGCAYGACTCTTGTTCCTGTCTGACTTTTGGCTGATCTCAGAAGATGAGCATTACGTGCAGCTCCTATTTAGGCAACCAAACAAARCCATCTAGGTTCTGATGGCAGCTGCAGTGGCTGCAATCTACTGGGGAATCTGACCTCTGTGTTTGCGTATCTGAATGAGAACCAAGTTCTACTGAAAAATATGGTAATGTGTAAGTGATGCAGATGGTGGGAAGGAACCTGGTGTCTCAGTTGAAGAGCAGCTGATAAATTGAGCCCTTAATGTTTAAATGTAGCAGCAAATTGCAATTCAAATGTGTGTTATTTTCAGTGTAAATGCCTTCATTTTTATATTACTTTAAAAGAAAAGAAAGAAAATACCACCAACAATATAAAACAAAACCAAACCAAACAAAAAAAAAACACTCCCTGGAAATAAGACTGAAAAAGTTTAAGCATTTCCAGTAAAAATATTTCTGTATGGACCACTGATAATTTTGCTCTACTATGCAGGACTATGCTCCAGAGTGCTCTTTGGCAAGCTTGTGGTGAGGAGCTGCCTTCTTTTATCTCCATTTGATTTCTGATCTTTCCTCCAAATCTCTCTTTCAGGACTGAGCAATGATGAAGACTATGTCTGGTGGAAACTGCAACCTGAATGTGCCGGCCAAGAACTCGTACCGCATGGTAGTGCTGGGAGCCTCCAGGGTGGGGAAAAGCTCCATCGTCTCACGCTTCCTCAATGGCCGGTTTGACGATCAGTACACTCCCACCATCGAGGATTTTCACCGCAAGGTCTACAACATAAGGGGAGACATGTATCAGCTGGACATCCTGGACACCTCTGGGAATCACCCTTTCCCTGCCATGAGGAGGCTTTCCATCCTAACAGGTGAGAAAGTCGGAGGGAAGATCATAAGGATGGACATTAGATTGAAAAGTGTAGTCTGGGGATGACTGTTTCTTGGGACACAGCTAAAAGGACTGCTTGATTTGCTGCAGGATGCATCCCTGCATTCCCAGCTGTCGTGTTCCTGGCACTATAAGGAACACATTAGCCACAGCAGAGAAGTCCAGTGGGTGAAGGCCTGAAATTAAGACTTTCCCTTACCCATCTACCTTCCCCTCCTGCTTTATATTTTTATTGCAGTCACAAATAAACGTCTGAATGAAATTCTGTGGGTATAAAAAGCAGCAAAGGGCAAAATAAGCATGCTGTTCTAAGACACATGCAGTGAAAAATAATATAAAATGAACAGAAAGGGAACTCTAACCAAGAAAGTCCCAAGGATTTTTTAATTCCCAAAATTTCCAGCTTGATTTCCTTGATTTAATATTCCAGTAGAAGGATAGCTCTACTTTTACCCTTTCTCCTTAGTCTTCTGGCTAATCAAATATGTTTCAAGGGAAAGAAAGGAAAACYGTGGGATCATTTTGCATATTCTCACTGTCAGGTCATTCCTTTTTTGAACTAAAATATATTCTTTAATTGTAAAAGTGACAGTAGATATATATTAATCCGAAGGTCACAATAAACCTGCTTTCTGGATTCACTATCCATATTTCTAACTGGCCAGTGAAACATGACATTCGCATCTGACAAGACTAGAATCCACATTCAGTGAGGTCCCAGGACAGTTTCTGGGATGCAAATGTGAGCTTTAGTCCCTGAAACCTCTCTTAGCATTTTCCACACGAATGTCATTCAACTGGCAATGATTTGCCTTATTTTTACTTGCAAAARGAATTTTAAGTTGGGAAATGTCAAAAAGAAATGCCATGGGATCTGTGTCATTTATGTATTAGCTTTTTTTCATGGTCTGCTTCTCTTGAGCAAATGCAATGACACAGAGAACACTGAAAACCTCTCACTCCTGGCTTGGGTGTTCAGGATTGATTAGGTGTGAACCTTCACTTCAGGTGTTGCTTCATGTAYTGTGTAATCAAAGAGCTAAGGCTGAGTGGCTACCAGCTCTCAGGTCTTTCTGGTGTCAGAACAGGATGTGTTTTACATGGAGATACAAATGGAGGGAAGTAAAAAGAAGAGCAGTGCAGCAGAGCTGAGACAGAAAAGTGTTTACGAAAGAGATAAAAACAATAACTTACAAGCCCAGCGCAAACTGGGATGCAATTGGATATGACTTAAGTAACATCATAGCTAAAATTCTTTTCCATAGCACTATAGAAATTTGTGGGGAGTTGAGTCAGAACTAAAGTACAACTGAGTGAATGGGTGCCAAAGGACCAAACAAAAAATATGGGGAGGAGATGGAAATAAAAGAATTGCTTTTTAAAAACTTGCTCCTTGAAACTGATTGTGCCCAACAAGCCTTTACAAGCCTATGGGTTTTTTTTTTAATTCCAGGGGATGTTTTCATCCTGGTGTTCAGCCTGGACAACAGAGAATCCTTTGATGAGGTCAAGCGACTCCAGAAACAGATCCTTGAGGTCAAATCCTGCCTGAAGAACAAAACCAAGGAAACAGCTGACCTTCCCATGGTGATCTGTGGCAACAAAAATGACCACAGTGAAATCTTCCGCAAGGTACGCACTGATGAAGGTGAGAACCTTGTTTCCAGTGATGAAAACTGTGCTTACTTYGAAGTGTCTGCCAAGAAGAACACCAACGTGGATGAGATGTTCTATGTCCTCTTCAGCATGGCCAAGCTACCTCATGAGATGAGCCCTTCCCTCCACAGGAAAATTTCCATCCAGTATGGTGATACTTTCCACCAGAAATCCTTCCGGATGCACCGGGTCAAGGACATGGACGCCTATGGTATGATCTCTCCMTTTGCTCGCCGGCCAAGTGTCAACAGTGATCTGAAGTACATCAAATCGAAAGTTCTCAGGGAAGGTCAGTCCAGGGAGAGGGAGAAATGCACAATCCAGTGAAAGAGGCTTGCACTTCTGTCTGATGACAGCATCCACATGCAGTGCCTTAAAGAAAAAATGGTCTGTGGAAACACAGAACAGGCTCATGGGGTTTCTTGAGAAAACCCAGCAGGGAGAAAGGTTAACTCTTCCTGTGGATTCTGCTGAGTCACAAATGTAAATAACATCATCCTTGAAGATGACTGGGAAAAATCACACACCTGAGATATGAGTGCATTTTTTTGTCTTTGTAATGTAGTTCCTCTTCATTCCCCCTTTTATTTGAAAAATACAGCCCTGAGAAGTAAAGACATTTCAACCTTATCCTTACAGAGCAGATAGATCAAAAAATGCACAGAAGGCATTAATGGATAGCCAGCATGCAGCTCCTGCTAAGAGAGAGGAGGTTATGTGTGTGTGTGTGTGTGTATCTCTGTGTGCCCATGTGCATGTGCACATGCATGTGTGGAGCTCTCCTTTTAAAAAGTGGGACTTGCATTTCAAAGGACAGCAATCCTAACTGAGAATTCCCAGATTGGGAGTGGACTCTATATGTGGATGCATGACTTTCATTCACTTCTGAGGCACCTGCATTGAGAACTTGATTTTGTGTTTGTTGGGACAGTTACCGTTTGACATTAACATGAATGTTGGTTTGTATTATAGATTTTATTTGGTATTTGGCTTTTTTTTTTTTTTTTTTTTTTTTTTTT